TACTTTGTTAGGGAAGTCCTAAATTCATTCCTCAGAAAGTTGGAACATCTGTTCATAATGGGAAGACAGCAATATAGTAATTTTTTTTTTTGAGACTAAGCTTACTTAAATACTCTTTGGCATGATTATGCATACAAAGTAAAAATTATTGTATTTTTAATAGCAAATGAAAGTTTTGTTGTATTTTACTGGCCTTTTAATTAATAGATTCCTTAGCAAATTACATGCATAGGTGCATGCATAGGATAGCCTTGGGATGTACCAGGGGCGGTTTTTTGATAGGTCATAAAATCATAAAGATTTGGCCTGCAATAAGAATAACCTAATATGAAATTGAAATATCTGTCTGTGTTACCTGATAAATAACCAGAGTCCTGGCACATGCCAGGGGTGATTGCACCAGAAGCCATTTTACCAGTGACCAGAACACTTGTGGTCATGGTTCATTGAACAGTAATTTGACAGAGAAAATAAGGTTATAGTCCTTTGAAAAATGAGCTATTGAGCTTCCCCAAATTAAGAACTCACTCTCTGGCCGATCTGGCTTTGGCAAAGCTTTTACTGAGTTATGTAAAGACTGGGTTTTACATAAATTGGAGAACATGCACTCTAAAATATCTGTAGCTGTAGGCTGATCTCCTTACTTTGTTTTCAAAGAGTTTCTACAATGGTTTGAGAAATAGATGAATGGATTACTGATGGAAATGAGCACCTTAATAATATTCTTAGCCGCCTTGTTTCTGTTGCATCAGAATAAACTCGACTATTTCTGAAGAAAATGTCATAACAGAATATTTAATTTAATTTGTGCCACTAAGTTCTACAAAATGGCAACTGCATCATTTGAATATTCTAGTTGAGAATAAAATCTGTCACAATTTTCAAGGATCTTTGCTGATCATCATCACCTGGATGCCTCTGAACTGTTTTAACAGGTTAATACTTGCTAAGTGGTTTAGAAAGCAATTTGCTGCTGTGAATCATGCTGTAACTCCAGCCAGTGAAATCTGTCAGTATTTGCTGGATAGTTAAAGCATGTTAATATCCATATAATGAATACTCTCTATTTCATCACTATAAAAATATCAGTTGGAAGTACTTGGAGGATTAACTTGGAGTCATGAGAAAAGCACATTTGGTTGTAGCCTCTAGGAAAAAACTGTGCTGTACTTGAAAGAATCAACATGTGGTTAGAAAGAAAATTCTGATTCAACCTACTCTGTGATAGCAACTAATTAACCTTGGCACCTTTCTCTGAGCTGCAAGCCACTGCTTCCCAGAGGTTGCAGGAAGTCAGGCAGCTCCTCTGCCTTCCTCTTGCAGTGTTAATATTCATTTCACATTCGACTCCAACATTCCCTTGGCTAACTACTATGATGTTCAATTCTCTCCAGAGCAACTGTGTGTGTTGAAGGTGATTTTAACATCCACATTTAGAGCAGCTTGTTGTGAATTCTCACTACATGCTACTGTGGTTTTAACTTCTTTTACCTTTTGTTTCCTAACTTTTTAAAATTCTGGTTAAAAATGGTACTGCTGCACTTCTTGTTTAATGATTTCTATTGATCAGAACAATAGAATTAATTAGAAAGTGAATTAACTCTCTCCTTTGGTAGTATGCTTAATTGTGATATACTGTACTTAAAGTAAAAAAAAAAAAAATAATCAATATATTTACCTTCATTACTATTGAGTTAATGATAGTGCTTAGTAGACCTGTGTTAATAAATGTAAATAATGCCTTTGGTAAGTGTCCAAACAAGGCAGATGTGCTTACTGTGGTTTTGTTGGGAAGTCAGTTGGACATTCAGGGATTTCCCATCTGTTCTGGGTGTAAATGGCAGAGTTATTTCTGAATCTTAATGTTACAGCCCCTGCAGCAGAAGCTACGTCCTGAATACTTTAAGATTTTGTTGCAGGGTTTTGCTCTTTGTGTATTGCAGTCAACACAGAGCTTAAGCGCCGTTGCAGTTTCACTTTGTCTTACAAACACAGGTTCTTGGTGGTGTGTGGAGATAAATGCTGAGCTGCTACCAAGCCAGTGACAAAGGCAGAATTTGTGGTTGCCCTGGGAGTGCTCTTTCCCTCTTGGTGAATGCCACAGGTCTAGAATTCAGGGGATCAGTGTCTTATTGCCAGGTGTTATTGCTGACTTGCTTTGGAACTTCTGCCAAACCCAGCTCCTGAATGTCACTTTCTGCAGAAGGGAGAGAGTGCTCAGCCCTCCAGAACTGTCAAGCTGTAGGTTAGATAGGTGGTGTATTTCACAACAACAAATCAAACAAAAATCCCCAGGTCCCCACAAACAAACAAAAAACCCACATCACAATTTTTTTTTTGTCATAATTGTTTAGATATAAGCCAAAATCCATATAGGATTAATATGATCTGCTTGTCTTTATTCACATGGAATCAGCCACATTAGTGTTTAGGACTAGAACTGTAATGGTCATACTCTGGTGAATTTTTATGGTGTGGAATTTTCAGTTTTTAATGCCACATTCGCATGTGCAAGTGTCTGTCCATACATAACAGCAAATGGGGAAGAGAAATAGTGAAAATCTTTTCTGCAGAAGAGCTTCAGGTGGTGAGCTGCTGAGCTTGTGTGTGATAGAGAACTGCTCATTATATATTGAAAATCAGGTAGAGAACTGCTTATGGCCACACCAGGCATGTCAAATGTCTACTTTTAGGTATTGCAAGTATTTTAATATTTATTATATCCTCTCTGTTGACTGTGCAGTTTTAACGAGGCATTGTGTTCTATAGAGGATGACCTGTGGAGAACAGAGCTATGGGAAGTTGTGTGTCACGTTCAGAAAAATGCTTCCATTATCCCAGCCGTTCTTGGAATAAATGAATCATGCTCAAGGTCTTTGCCTTCATTTGTAAAACTTATAAGTTATGCTGTCTGTCAGAAAGTCAAGGAGTGATGTGGCAAACATGGTAAAATGCCCACTCCAAACAGCCAAGGAGATTGGTTTACTTGTCTGTTTCTTTTCATAATGATTTTAAATTGTGTTTGCTTTCTATTTTCTTCTGAGTTCAGAGAAAGTATTATAAATACTCCTTCACATAACATCTATCTGATCTGACATTTTGGGAAGATGCTTCAAGAGCAAAGAGTCAGATTCATGCTTGTTGAATCTGTTGTTCTTCACGCCTACGCTTGCAAGTCTCCCCACATTATTTTGTATTTCTTCTCAGGAAGACATGTACAAATTTAGAGACTGGATGTCCTTTGAAATTATGTAAGACTCCTGCCTCCATGCTATTGTATGAAAACTGAAATAAACAGAACTCACCAAACCCAAAACACCCTAGAACAGAGTGAACAAAAATATTTTGGGTCGTGAGGCAGCAACTGCTTGCTGCTCTGTTGCTTAGTTATATTTGTTGGATGCAGAGATAGTCTGGAGAGCCCTTTTCTAAGGTACACCCTGTAAACTTTGTTTAAATTATTCTGGATTTGTTTTATTAAATAGAGGTAATTGTGTTTCAAAAATAGCACAAATCTTGCATGCTGCAGTTCATCCACATTAGTTTATTCAGCTGAGTACATTAGAAGTCACAGCTGTTCAGATGTACCCTTGTTCCTACAATGTTATGTCTGTGTGCATAAAATCTCACTGTTTCAAGCCCATGTACACTGTTGAATGGTGAATTTGTTTTGAATATGTTTTTGTAGCTGACCTTTTGTACTCATGGCTTTGAACAAGGCATGTCAATGCCGTGGGGGTAATATGTGAGTTTCAGAAAGTGCTCTGCATGGTCTTTGTACCTGAAGAAGGTGGAGGTAAATGTTTTTTTAAAAAAAGGAAATTATGAAAATTATTTTTCTTCCACAAATTCCAAATTTGTCCTTAGATAGTGATCATAATGAAAACTGGCAAAAAGGAAGGGATTTAAGCACATTCTTGTTGCCTCAAGTAATTTCTGAAACTAGTTTGAAGGCCAATGTTTTAACCTGCACGTTTAAAATCTGGAAAACTTTCTGCATCTGAAATTTGCAGCAATTATGTCAAACAGCTATAAATCTTTGAGATATGGAAATTCTTGATTAAAAATGGAGATGCCCTCTTCTGAGGATTAATAGCTTATGTTTGCTAATTAAAATTGTGTACATATTCATTAGACCTCTATACAGGCTCATAGGTAGAACATTAGATCACAGAAATTACAGAAACTAGTTGTTAATATTTCTGTAGAAGAATTTTATTAGCATTGTATAATAATTACAGGTTAGCATAGTTAGGCTCTCAGATGTGACCTAATTTATATCTGAAGATTAAAATAGCAGGCTAATAATACTGCAGTAATTCTTTAACAATTCTACCTAAAATTAGCTTGTCCTGTCTAGATTTGGACAGTAATTGCTTGGGATAAAATCTTAAAATAAAATTATGAAGTGTTTGCCTGGATGGTAGCAGAATACAGAATACTGAATATCATATCCTAAAGGAGTTCTGATTGTGTTTCTAAAAGCAGGTTAAAAACTCCAACTGCAGCTTGAAACTCCATGATGTATATTTTCTATGATGAATAGTCATGCATGGATGATGTAATGCAAGCTGTAAGAATGAAAATACTTTTTTTTTAATATTACTCTTAGAGTTTCAATGTTTCACCAGTTTGGCAAGGAAAACTAAGCTGCTTAATTTTGGAAACCAGACGAAACCTCTCTAAACATCCTACAGTACTGGACTGTAGAAATAACAGTGTGCAAGTGTCTAAATCAGGGAGCTGGATATGGAAGGAAAAAGAAAAACTTACAATCAAAAAAGCAGTTATGCCTTTTTAGAGACTGTTAACACTTCACTTACCTGAATTAGCTGAAGGGAACCACTAAGGACTGATTCTGTTGCCTGCTGATTTTTTTTTTTTTCCTCTGTAGCCTCTGTGCTGTTACATTTCATCCCAGAAGACTGTGGGTTTAAAACAAAAGATCAGTGAATGAAAATTACTTTGGTCATAATGTTTCTCTGTCCCAATTTCCTTAGATCCCTGGTGGAAGAGGAGGATCCTCATATGAAAGTGTCTCTTGGGAGCAGCGATATGGGCGTCTCTGCCCATCTGCAGTCTTCGAAGACAGGAACCACCAGATTTTTCACCAGCAATACTCACAGTTCTGTGGTATTACAGGTAATTAAATATTTTCATGCCTGTATTGAGCTGTGCTAAGAATTTTGGCTGCTCTGCACAGTGTGTCCACTAAATCGATTTTATTAGTCCAGTTATTCCTATAAAGCCTCAAAAGCTCTCATGTTCTTGTGCTGTCAATGCCCACAAGCAAGCATTGCTTGGGATTTGCTTTCCTGTGAAAGAAGTTCAACTTTTAGCAGCAGCTTCGAAAACAAACCTGGCCATTTCTAGGCTCATATCCCAGTCCACTCTCAAGTTCTTAGAGGTAACAATATTTAAACTCTGATGTGACAGCTCTATCAAAGAAGCTCACTTAAATATCATTATTTAATTACATTAGGCATGTGCCTAAGATGACAGAGCCCTGCCAGGTTTGGTGTAATGCCCTGTGCTGGGTCTGACTATGGCACTGCTGTGTGCTGGAACATCTATAGAGACAATATTCACATTCTTGCTAGTATTAGAAAAATACCAGTTCAAAGGAAAATGTTTTATGTTTGAGTTCCTGTTCCACAGAATGAAGGAGGAGAGTATTTCGTCCATCCTCCAGTATACACAACCAGGCACATCTTTGGAAGAAATCTTGCTCTAGGATGCCGCTGTAGATGATTTTATTTTTTATTGCAGTTAGATGTTATAAGTAATTCAGAGATCAGATGTATAACGGGAGCTTATTTTGGGGTTTTTAGCATGTTGCTGTGGTAACAAATTTGATAATCATAGGACCAGGTAACAGTTTTCCTTTCAGGTCACAGACTTTTGCAGCCTGTTAGGTTGCAAACCCCTTAAATTGCTGTGGAACAGAATTATATCTAGAATGCATATGTGACCAGAAGGGACAGTCCAAAAAAAAATCAGTCCCTACCTGAAACAACTGCTATTGTGAAGGCTTACAAAACAAACTCCTTCCTGAAAATAACTTAATTATTTTAATAAAACTACTTTGTAAGGCCTAGTGTACTTGGCATTCATCAGCTATATCTAGAAAGTAATGATTATTCTGCTTGTTTTCAATGAATACTAATCATTGAATATATTACAGATAATGGTTTTAAGATAACAAATTATTTCTTTGTCACTTTTTTGGACCTACACTACACATGTACATAAAAGTAAATACATATTAGCATAAGGGAAATAAGAGATTTCTACTCTCCTCCCAAATCCAAGGATGCTTTGCATTGTGCTTTTCCTGCAGGGCTTTGACCAGCTGCGAGTGGAAGGTTTGCTCTGTGATGTGACGCTCGTTCCTGGAGATGGTGATGAGGTGTTCCCTGTCCACAGAGCAATGATGGCTTCTGCAAGTGATTACTTCAAGGCCATGTTCACAGGTGGTGTTTTCATTAAAGCCATGTCTGTCTCCAAATTGCTGCTCCAAATTGCTCTCATTGAAACACTCAGACACAAGTTCAGTGCTGTGTGTGAATCAGTCCAGGACTGCAAACATCGCTGTGGACTAAACATCTCTCTCTGCTGTTGCATATGGGGTTTTAAAATTAAATTTTAAAATCATATTTTAATTATCTCTAAATTTATGAAATAATTTCAACCCCACCAAAATGATCATTTACAGTTACCTGCATGTCTGTTTCAGGAGGAATGAAGGAACAAGATTTAATGTGCATTAAGCTTCATGGTGTGAACAAAATAGGCCTAAAGAAGATCATTGATTTCATCTATACTGCAAAACTTTCCCTTAACATGGACAACCTTCAGGACACTCTGGAAGCTGCCAGTTTTTTGCAGATTTTACCTGTTTTGGACTTCTGTAAAGTATTTCTTATCTCTGGGGTAAGACTAATTGTTTCCCATTTACAATGTTTAAAGCCTTGGTATGTAGTTTTGTTTTTTCTTCTGTAATGACACTGATTTATGTAATAATCAAAGTTATGTCTAAAACCTGCCATTATTCACAGCTTAGATTTACAGAGAACAAATTTGCTTTATAGTTTTCTTGAAAAATTTGGTTTTCTTCTGAGTATTACGTACAGCATGAGTTTGCTACAGTTGTTTTACCACATTGAAATTCTTCCCTTACATGGCTGATTTGAGATGCTTCAGGGTCTCCCTGCATGACTGCACTCTAGCATTTGTCTGCTTGCTGCATTCATTAGGTGTGCTTCAGTTTCAGTCACTTCATTCCTGTATTTACAGCCCTTCCATCTCACTGGTGTGCAGTTACCTGTTTTCTGACCCTAACACAGGATAAAAGCAATACCCAGGCAGGATCCCTCAGTACCTTTCCTGTCCTGCTCTGTGGGGCTGTAGAACAGCAGTGGTGCAAGAGCAGTTCTGCCTGGCGAGACACTCTGCAGTTACTTTTAATGTTCACTGGAGGTTTTCTAGTGTTGATGTTAAATGCCTCCATATCTCACTAGAACTCCGACTTTAACAGGTGTGTTCCACACAAATTACAGAATTATTTGGAAATCAGCTTTTCAGCTCTGTAATGAGAAATAAAGAAGCAGGTATTCCTGTTGTTCTGCAGAGTACAGGCTTAGAAATTTGACCTCCCTGACTGAAAATATGTACCAGGATTTATGCAAACCAGAGGACTCTAAGCTGGTAATAACAGCAATTTGTTTCGTATGATGTGTTAGAGATATTCAGGCTTGATAATGCCATTTTGCTTTTAATTTAGAGATGTTTTTTAAATGACCTATCTGATAATGTTGTGATAATGTTTCATTAAGCTTAATACTCTTCAATCCCATCCCACCTATTTTATCTTGCTCAGTTTGTTTTTTTTTTTACCTCCAAAATGATGCCTCTCCAGGTTTGACATACTATAAATACCAGCTTGGAAAAAGGTCTTGGTGGTGTTTTGAATGAGGTATTTGAAAAGGGCTCCTTCTGATGGGAGCTGAGCCCTGGGGATGCTGTGGTGGCCTTTCCCCTTTCTGGGTAGGGCAGCTCCTTGTTTATTTTGCTTTGTTAAGGAAAGAACTTTTTTCATATTAAATCATGTTATTGTTTTAAATGCTCATTCTCTGAAAGTATGTTCACTTGTTATGTTGATTCAGTCACTGTTTTCATTCAAATTAGAATGATCTTGTTTGATACTCCATTTTCAAAGAATGGGGAAGACTTTCTTAATTCTCTTAATTTTATTGGGGTTTTTTGGGGGGGAAATACTTTAATTTAGACTGATATCTAAGGGGACATAATTTCATTCATGGCATAGCTGTAGAGGAAGTACAAAACTGAAGTTGTTCTGTTAGCCTAGTTATGTTCTTAGCATCCTTATATAAAGAATTTTTGGATGACCTTACTTCTAAACTTTTTGAAACAAGAGTTGGTGAGCAAAAGAGTTTCTTTTTGAAGGATCATTTCTGTAATTTAAATATTCTGAGCAAGTATTGAGCTTATTTCTATTGAAGTTAGCTGGCTTGAGAGCTGAGGTAACCATTCCCAGACAAATGCTTAATTGTCTTTGAATTGTCTGGGGAGTCCATTATTAAAGAGATTATAGAAGTCAGTTTATGTAAGGCATAATGTAATTGTGTACTTCATAAGAGGGTATTGGAAATATTTTCAAAGAAAAACCAAAGCTTAAGGTAACAGCTTAATTTGTGTAGCAAAACTAATGAGACCTTCAAAGAACAGTATCTGTTGTAGCTGACTTGAAAGTGGTTTTTTTATTTGCTCTGCATTAACACCCCTCCTGTCAAGTACCCCATTGCTCTGATTATCTTTGCTCAGCAGCAAAACAGACTCTCAGAGAAACAGTGGAGTACTTCCTAAAATGTTTTCAGTCTTACTGTTACTATTGGTTTTCAATAATTATACCTGTACAATAGACTAGGATTACTCTCATACTCACATCTAACTGAGCTGTAATGTAAATAAAATTCATAAAAATGCCATGGAAATGTTTTCCATGAGTAGTGAGCTCTAGACACAACACTGATTTTGCAAAACTAGCAGCAATGTATAAAATGGAGAAAGATGAGAAACTTACCCAAATGAATTACAGCACTCAGGAAAATTACAGGGTAATGGGGAAAGGGTTGTTACACTGTAATTAAAGAAAACATTCCCAAACATTGAAAATTAATATCTTGGATGTACCTGCAAAAGAATTTGTTCCTTTTATAATTTGGTGCTGTACACTTTCGTAACTACTAGGATATAGTCAAATATTTATGGCTTAGTACTTGGAAGTTGTGCCTTGACAAAAAAAATTAGTTATCTGAGGATGGAGCAAAGTTAATCTGTTTTGTGGGAGTGTGGGATTTAACCCTGGGACCAGTTCTGACAGCCACCAGAAATTTGACTTTCTACTGTAGGGGTGCAGTGGATTCTGTTTTCTGAGCTGGTCAAATTTCTGTGCAGTTTTTTTCTGGGCTTCTATCAATGGGAGCCCATAAGAAAATTGAAGGTTTCAGGGGTGTGTTTGCTCTTTTAAACTTGGGCCCCTTGGAGCACTGCATTAAGTGCTTCAGTGTCTGACAGCCATTGACACAAAACAAAGTTAGATACCTGATTGTTTTGTGCTGCTGGGTTTGAGGGCTGGATTTTTTTGTGCATGCTGCTTTTCCTGAGCTGTTCTCCAAGGCTCTCATACTTGCAATCATTTTGCTGTGTCCAGTTTTGTAGTATTTTATTTCAGTTAAGTTTTTATGAGAGCTTGGGAAGTGGTTGCTACAAAATTTCAAAAAATGAAGTGAACTGCTTTCTCAAAGAAGTACTTTGGCTTTTGCTCTGGGTTTTTCAGGCTGTTGTAACATGGTGCTGTGCTTGACCTTTCTTTTTTGAAAAGCTTTTTAGTATTTTCTGCAACTTCTGTTTTGTAATGAGCTATTACAATGAGTAATGTGAGTGAGCAGCTCTGCTCAGTAGTCAAGTCCATGTAAAATGGGATTTATTTAAGTGAAATTCTCAACTCCTTGTGGAGCTGCTTAGCTGCTTGAATGTTTGTCTTTTAGCTCTTTCCTTGTGAGCAGTTTTACTTGTTATTGGATACACTGTACAGTGTATGTATTTTCACCTGATATTTCCATTCCTCCTGTTCACTTCAGTGGGATTTCCAGAGTTAGCAGTTCCTTCTCTTTGTTGAAAAGCTCCTGATTGACTGACTTCCACACAGAACCATAGCATAAGTCAAACTTTTAAAAAAACCAAAAAACCCCAGTGTTTGAGTAACTGAAGTATTTATTTAAATAACATTGTACTGAACTCTGTCCAGTTTTGAATATTCAAGTAGAAGTAGCTATAGCCTTTCTTTCTGTTGAAGGATTATTTTTAGGCTCAGGATTTAAGAATCTCTAGAATATATATTTTTATGACTTTTAAGTCTTTGCAATATAATTTAGCCTGGTACATTGGTTATTGTCTTAGAGCAGAGTAAAGAGGGTAACAGTAATTTTGTGAGAAAAGTAACCTTTAAGACAATATTTAGTATGGCACCCTGATTTGAGGTGAGTGGAGGAATTTGTTGGTGAGTCAAACATAATGCACAATTTCATAAGCCTAATGGGAAGTACTTGCAATCATATATTAAAAAAAACCAACCAACCCTGAGTGCGGTACAGTCCCAGTGGATTACTAAAGGCAGTATAAAGTGAATTTTCCGAGAATCAGGGGTTGACTGGAAGCTGCTGATATCATGTTAATCAGTCATTAGCAATGTGTAATGTGTCAATAAATTTCTCAAATGTAAGAAGTCCAGGAATATGCTCAGCTGCATGGATTTACAGTGTAACATAATTATGGCAATACAGAACCCAGTGCACTCTGGGCACTTGATAAGTGGCAGCCAGTCAGCAATAGCTCCAAATACTTCACTGCATCCTGAGCATGTGCCAGTGGTACAGAACCTGTGCAGGTTTTGCTTTGATCTTTTAAGTTCAAGCATGCCTTTCCTGTATGCAATAATTTCTGCCTGCTTACTTTGATGTGGTGGAAGTGCTGCATATCTCTAGTTTGGTGCCAGACAATGTATTCCAAAGTGATTTTTAAATACAGTAACTATATAGCAAGAGTTAAGATTTATCGTATACTGCAAGTCAGCTGTTTGTTAAGGGATGATTTTTCCATTGCTTTATTTTGTAATACAACTTGGAAGAAATTTTGGAAGAAATTCCACTCGACCAGGTTGCTCAGAACCCCATCCAGCCTGGCCTTGGACACTTCAGCAATGGAGCAGCCACAGCTTCTCTGGGCAACCTGTTTGATGTTGATCCTCAAAGCCAGTCAGAGAATATTTTATAGGCTGTTGCTAGTTGGTGTGATTATATTTTGATATAAACAATGTGGTCTGTCTTTGTAATACAAAAATTATTTCTATGTATATAAAGCACAAATATTTTCATACTAGAACTCCTGACAGTCTGCTGCACATTCATTTTATAGATGGGACCTGATTACAGGATTAGTAGGCATTTCAAGATGCATGAATGAAGACTTTGGATGACAGTAGATCTTAACTCTAGGGCAAGTTGGATCAGTTTCTAGTGAATTTAAAAAATCTCCTCTTCCTGTACTCATTAGACATTGGAATTGTCTGGTATTAAAGGACAATGATCAGATTAAATTATACAGTATTAAAATCATCTAATCGCTGTCATGACCAGAAGTCATTTGAAGGTTTTTGAATTCTTAGGCTCCAGTTGGGCCATAGTCCTCAATCTTTATAATCTTTTTTAAAATAACTGTGAGATTTGTAAGCTTAAGTTCTTCTGGCATTAGGAATGTAATGAGAATCACAAAGTTGTGGAAATGGTTGACACCGAGTAGGACTGACATGCACAGAGACTAGAACATGTGTAAATGAACCTTGGTCTGGAATAAGGTTTGAATGCAAAAAAGCTGCAATTCTGAGCAAGAAGCATTTGATTGACTTGCTGAGCACATGTACCAGAGAGCTTCCTGAAAGGAACTGGCTGGGTTCACTGAAAACCCACTAGAAGTTTGCCCCATTCCTGGCATGTTTCTTCCTTCCTGTGCCTTGGATCCCAAGTGACCTTAGAAATTCAGGAGCCAAAGATATAAAAAGATAGATGCAGCTACAGTGTAAAACATATGATTACCAAGTCAGTCGAGTACTGAGTTAAATTTGGGTGTGTGATCTGTACTTTAATGAGCTGGGTATTTTTAGGGGAAATCCTCCTAGGTTCATTCTTTTTAAAAAATTATGTATAAACTAAAATCACTACCTTTGTCTTATTTTTGACATGTTTTTAATTTTGAACAGGGACTGTGAGAACACTGCCTTGATTTATTAAAGAACCATTTTTGTTTGTTTTGAAGGAATGTATTCATGAGATTCAACACTGTAAATATTAGTTGTCCGAAATATGTGGCATTCAGGGGTTAGCTGTGCCATTCTCTTTGGTTGTATTATGCCAACACAATTTCCATAGTGTCAAAAAATATCTGAGGATGACACTTTTGTTTTGCTCTCTGTAACCTTGGGCTGATCACCTGTCCCTTAATTTTATTTTCCACATGTCTGTCTTAGATGTTTTCAGAGCTTTTCAAAGATGAGGCGCTATCTAGCTGTTATGCCTCATCATTGTGTAAGGTATTTGACATAATATATGCCATCTGCTTGCTACTTGTCTCAGTTCTTTCTTCAAAATAAGGAAAAAATTGGGTCTCCCTTTGCAGTCATGAATATATACACTGCACTATTTGCTCATGTGTAAATCACCTTGAGCACTGCAAAATGCTGAAATATTGCTGATTTTACAGTATTCATTAAATTTTACAGTATCATTTAGACACCAAATTAAGAAAGTGTTTTGATTCCTTTTTCTGTTTACTTAATAGGTTTCATTGGAAAACTGTGTTGAGGTTGGGCGAATTGCCAACACATACAATCTCACAGAAGTGGATAAATATGTTAATAATTTCATCCTGAAGAACTTCCCTGCATTATTAAGTACTGGTGAATTTGTGAAACTCCCCTTTGAACGTCTTGCCTTTGTGCTTTCAAGTAATAGCCTTAAGCACTGCACTGAACTGGAGCTCTTCAAGGCGGCCTGTCGCTGGCTGCGCTACGAGGAGCCTCGCATGGAGTACGCTGCAAAGCTCATGAAGAACATCAGGTTTCCCCTGATGACCCCCCAGGATCTTATCAACTACGTCCAGACAGTGGACTTCATGAGAACTGACAACACCTGTGTCAACCTGCTTCTGGAGGCCAGCAATTACCAGATGATGCCGTACATGCAGCCGGTGATGCAGTCGGAGCGGACGGCGATCCGCTCGGACAGCACGCACCTGGTGACGCTGGGAGGGGTGCTCAGGCAGCAGCTGGTGGTCAGCAAGGAGCTGCGGATGTACGACGAGAAGGCCCACGAGTGGAAATCCCTGGCGCCCATGGACGCGCCGCGGTACCAGCACGGCATCGCCGTCATCGGCAACTTCCTCTACGTGGTGGGAGGCCAGAGCAATTACGACACCAAGGGAAAGACGGCGGTCGACACGGTCTTCAGGTTCGATCCTCGCTACAACAAGTGGATGCAAGTGGCATCTTTGAACGAGAAACGGACCTTCTTCCACCTAAGTGCCCTCAAAGGACATTTGTATGCAGTCGGAGGTCGGAATGCAGCGGGTGAGCTAGGTGAGTCCTCCTGCAGCCAGCCCCTTGTCTTTTGCTGGGCCTGGAAGTGCCCTCTGCCCAGGGAGTGGGTGGAGAGAAACAAGTTGAAGTCACTGGAGTGCTGCTGCTTTCTGGAAATACTGCAAATACAGATTTTTTTTCTGGATACTCTTAGAAGTTAATTTTAGAAGGAATCCCACAAAAAAATTCCAAGTACCTATGTCTTGTGTATTGATGCATATTATCCAGTGTCTTGGCCTTTACCAGGAAACATGAAGTAAGCATCTGTGTCTGCCTGTGTAAGTGTGGGGGCAGTTTTAAAAAGAAAAAATTAATCATTACTTTAGCTGAGAAACAAAATCCATTCATAAGGGATACACAGCTCTAGCTGAAACTCACTCTTGAATGAGCATTGCATTTTAAAAGACAAAAATTTTCTGGAATAGTATTTGAAATGCCAAGGTTTTTTATGTGTTTTTTTTTTGTTTTGTTTTAGTCTTATGACTGTGATTTATTTCACTCACAGATTAGTGAGATTCAGATATTCTGATGTTCTGGCCTTTTTAATTATTAAAAATGTTATATTTCACCTATGACCTTATTTGTACAAATGACTGAATGACTTGGTCCTGGTGCCTCTTCTTTTCCCCCCTTGCAAATGATATTTAATTCAGCTTGACCAAAAACCCCAAAACAAACCAAACTCAACAAAACAAAAACACCAAGAAAAGAAACAAACAAAAACAGAAGAAAAAACCCATATCAGGGGTAAGTTTAAATTTTAATTCCATTCCAGTGTTTGATGAAATGGGATATTTAAAAATGCCTCCTGTTCCAAAAAGATGGGAAATGCTTAGCAATAACTTGTTTTCCCTAGTCATTTTCTGATGCAGATCCTGGAGTTTTCAGAATTTTTTACTGTTATCACTATTTACCTGAAAATACATCCTAAACAATCTCAATATCCTCTGGAAGACTAAATGTACAAAATAACATTTATTGATCTTTGAGTATCAGAAAACCTGATATATAGCTTCAGTGAGCTATTTTCTAACAGTATGAATTAATAGCAAATTATCAGATTACTGACCTTGTGCACTGTACAATCTGAACAGAGGAGGGTTATAAAAATGTCACTGAAAAAGTTGCAAGCCTGACAAAATCAATATGAAATAATATTGTCACTAAGCCAGTGCAACCTATGTGTGAAGGAGGCTTTGAGTGCAGTTTTAGCTTAAATTAGATCAAGCAGTATCATTCTGCTGACCTCAACTCTTCTGCTTTCTTTAATTAAAATACAAAATTTATCACCTATCTAAAATTCTTTTGTAAAGATATCATTAAAATGCTGTAGCAATTTCCACACAGACCTGAAAAATGCCACTGGATCATTCTGTGGGAAGAGCACTCTAAATGCTAAATATTGTAGCTGTCTGATGCTTTGATTTGGGGCTTCAGGTTCTTTCCTTGTTAATTGTGAGGTGAGTCACTTTTCATTTTCATGTTTCTTTCATAAACCTTGACAACTGGAAGATGCAATCCAGCTTAAACTTCCCATTCTGTTCAGAAGAGAAAAACTCTCAGGCTTTTCAAAGAAGAGAAGGTCAAATGTGTGTTGGACAGATATTAAAGAAGCTGCCCTTGGGTTCAAACTAATTTCAGTCTGTTGTTGGAGAGGAAAAATTCCCAAAACCTGAATTGAGCTTTCTGGAAAATTGGCTCTTATGGAAAAGGACCAAGGGATTAAAGTTACTAAAACTTTTTTTTTTTTTTTCCTGACATTCACAGGAATAAAAGTTTTACTTTTTTAAGAGGCTTTCTATCAAACCTTCTCAAAACAGTTTTCAGATGTTTCTTCTTCTGAGAACTTTGTAAATGCTACTTTCTACATTTGTGGTACTTGCATTAGTGTAATAATGAGCTGCTGTTTTACCAGTGCATGCCACTGAGAAAGGTGTGGTTCACTGGACAGGATGAATGAATTTCCATTTATGTGGTACATGTGTTGGAATGTGGTAAATGTATCCTTTAAATGGCCTGAATGATGACATGATAATTGAGATTTTTCAACCCTGTGACAGCTTAGGGCTGTGCCGAATTAAGCACCCCTCCTGAAAGGATTGTAGATAATTCCCTTTAAATGTCAAGGCAGACACCTGCCAGAGGTATTCCCAGAAGGCAGAGCAGCCCTTGGGCACGGGAGGAGCCCAGCCTGGAGAAGACAGGTGTGCAAAGAACAAGACTTTTTGGAAAAAGAGTCAAAGGGAAAAGCAGGTGTGGGTCACAAAGATAGTTGTGAAGCACAGCAGACTGGCAGATTCCAGCTGAACACTGGAGACTGTTTTCTCTTCTGACAAGAAGATTTTTGTATCTCATTGTAAGAGTTCAGTTGTGCTTGATGATGGCAGAAGCTGTGTGTGTAAATACTAGAAAACTTATGCATTTAGGTATTGTTCAGATAGTTCAAGCTCTGCTGTTGATAGGCTGGAGTAGAGTTTGGGGTTTTTATCTATGGGCTTTTCCTCAGCACTTTAGAGGGAGTGAGGTTGTGACTAAACCACAGTTTCATTCATGAATTCATCACGCTGCAATAAAGACAGAGAAAACTGCCAGGCTAGTTACCTGTTATTTTGACCCTCTGCCCATCAAGTTGGAAGATATTTTTTTTCCAGATGCCCTCTATGATGTTGAACACTCCTTGTTTATGTAAAAGCTTCCCCTGTGAGTGTGTGTACATATATATGTACGTGTGTATATATAGTTAATATATCTTAAGTGTTGCTGATTGATATGCATCAGTATCCAGCTGGGCTGTTCACTGTCAGAGTAGGATTGTGAATATCAGACCAGAGTGTGAACTAGAGGACCTCTTGTGCAGAGGCTTATTTTGGAGTGGCTCTTTGCTGTGCTAGGACAAAATTAGTCAGGACTATTTAATGAAGTCAGCTTAGAGTTGTACATGAATAAGCTGTATTATAGAAATAGTAAAACAAAGTTAAGAGCCTGGGTTTTGGGACATCACAGAGTTGCTAAGTGCTGCTGTAACAGACCTCAAGATGCTTTAGAAGCTACTGACAGAGAAGTGTTAAATATCTGTATACTCCTCAAATAGCATCACAGATGGCACTATAAAATGGGTACAGGCTGAACATCCCTTGGGACTGTCAAAACTTGGTGTCATTTTGAGATTGCTTAATTCTATTAAAATGAGGCCTGTCTTCCCTGGATTATGGTAATGAGCACATCAGAAGTTCTACTGTTAAACATAAATAAAGGCTGGTCTGAATCATTCATGGTGTTGGAAGAATAAATCCATCACTCTCACTTAAGTGCATTAAAGTAGCAGTTTTAGAGTGTTTTGTGAACTCTGCTCTGTCTGGAGATTTTCTGAAGAAGAATTTGTCTCTCTTAAATTATGAGCACCTTTAATAGCTGGAATTTTGAATATTTTTTCTTTTCAGTGCAGAGGAATATCTTGCTAAAAGACAGAAGTTGAATGATCTTGCAAGGTAACAGGGAAACAATTACACAGATCAATCTAACAGAAGAGTAGGGTTTTTCAGCTGGAAAATGATTAGCTTTGTTTTAGAACACAGTGGATTTGGGTTGGAATAGTTTGTCTGAAATAGTGTCAGACAGTACTTTGGCTGTGCTAGGAATATTAGAGACAGTTTTGAAGGCACATCAGAGAGATGGGTCTTGGACTCAGCACCATCCTTTCTCAGATAAATAATGTCTTTACAACGTGGTGACAGTGATGGTGGTAACGGGTACCAATTCTGCACGTTTTGTCTTCTCTTTCTAAAGGGACATTTTGGCTATGGCTTCTCTTTTAAATGCAGTTTGTAGTGCAGAGTGAGATAAAACTGTCCAGCACTGAATGTCATATTCACCTGTGTGCTGCTGGCTCTGCTCTTCCTTTGCACATCCTCTGCTCTCCCTGTCCTTGGAGTGTGTTAGAAACCCAAGCTCCTCACCTCAGTGCAGAGTGGGAGCACTTTGGATAGGGGATGCAGTTTTTGTGGAAGCAGCAGAGTGATGTTTCAGCACCGAGGAGCTCAAAGGGTTGAAGGGGCTGCCCCAGGGGTGGAACTGGGACAGCTGTAATTACTTGCACATCAAATCTGTTTCCTTCTGGTTTTGAAATTTCTGCACATCTTTGCTTCTGATTGCTAAGTAGAGCAGAGTGAAAAGGAGATTTCCTTTTAAAAAAAGAATATTGGAATGCATGAATGTGTTTACAAGAGCAAGCATGGGTTTATTTGGGGATTGGGCAAAAACTACAGGTGATATCAAGGTGGAACTGCACAGAAACACAACTCACAGATTTAATTTTAGTTGTCATTTGTGTAATCAGGTCTTTGTGCCTATACTCTTCTTTAGGCAAGAAAGTGTCTCCAGCATTCCCTGGATTTGTGGCTAAGTCTGTGATGGGTTACTGAAATACTGCAGCATGGAAAATAATAGGTTTTTTTTAAAAAGGAGATTTCTGTCTTTATTAAGAAAACCCAAATGACCAAGGCAGATCTCTCAAATGACCAAGGCAGATCTCTTAGAGTAAACTTGGGAACTTGCCCATGTATTGGGCAGAATTTTAAATGAAAAATTTGGTACATCAGCAGTACTGCAGACACACCAGACTTCAGTTCCTTTGTATTGGTTTGTTGTTTTTTTGTCCATCTTACACATCCCTGAGCTGGCAGAACTGGAAGTCCTTGTGCGAGCCACTCACACAGAACCAGATGCATTTCAAGGTTTCATTACTATTTTGAAACAGTTTCAAGAATATGAAATTAATAATTTCATACATGCAAATCAACGTATATAATTTGTTTAGAAAAAACCCAGAAATTTAATGTGTTTTGCCTTGCATAATGAACTTAATGTTCTGGACTGGCGCTTTTCTGCATTTCATAAATTTAAAGTTCAGTTGCTGGGTGGGGAAAAGCTGAAGCAAATCCAGTGTGCTGTAACAATTTAACAATTCTTACGTGCAAAATAGATTTTTTATTTTTCACTTCTAGCCTTAGATGCTGCTGAACTGGATGTCAAACAGTATTTCTGACATTGGAACTGGAAGCTTCTATTTTCAGTGCATGTACTTGAGACACTAATTGCATGGAATTATGTATTATCATCCCGTTTTACAACAATAAAGCGGTGATGCAGCAACTACAAGAGAATTCAGAAGGTCACTCTAATGTGCTCTGTCCTAATTTTTTCATGGCTTGGGGTTTTTTTTGGAGTTTGAGATCATAGCTATAGTCTACTAAAGTGATCCAGAGGATCTTTTTAAAACAGCTTTGGAGTTAGGGTGAGGTGCTTTATATTCACTATGTGTTACTGTCTGGTGTTCTTTACTGGCTCTATAATTCTATAATTAGGCTTAAACTAAAACTAACTAGATTCTGCCTTTATAATGACAAGTTTCTCAGATTCTAAGGGTATTTTCTCTCTTGGTTGATGTGTAATCCTGCACTGTTAAGTCATCACCGATTCCATAGAGCTGACTCAGATTTTCTACTCATGATTCAATAAAAACCTTGTTTTAGAGGAAGTAAAATGCCACTTTTAAAGACAGATCCAATTTTTCTATGTATAGTTCATAAACATCCAAGTGATTAAGCAGTCTTTAATTATTTAAAATGAGATCTAATTTGTCTTTAAGGTAACTTAATTATTGACAATTTCTCTGTGCATCATAAAGTCACTATATTGTGGGGGTTTTGAGGACCTTGTGCCCCTCTGATCATACTGTAGTATTTAACCTGCCAAAACTAGAGCTTTCTTCATTATTGAATGTCTTCTATTTGTATTCCCTGTGATTATTGCAGCCCTTTCCTGGCAGCCTGCATCTCTCCCATCTTACACTGGAGAGAGGTTTCCTCCTCAGGAATCCATTCTGCACTGACTCCTGGGTACTGTCCTCTGTGATCTCTGATCTGATAAAAGCCTTGATCATTTTAACATTCCAGCTCACAGAGAAAACTGCACAAATGGAGTTGTGCCTCAACACAGGCACTGCTTATGTCCTTGCCAGATTCAGGGATGTTTCTTGTTTTTTCTTTTAAGCTTGGCTTTTGTAAACTGATGTAGTGACTTGCACATTCTGTGCTGTATGTTGCTGTGCAAATCCTTAATAAAACACTGCAGTACAATAGAAAATTAACACACAGAATAGGAAATTAGAACACAGAGTGTTCTCTGAGCAAGTTTGCTGATGGTACAGCCCAGCTGGACACAATCCTATGCAGCCTGTTCTTGGTGACCCTGCTTTAGCAGAGTTGGATGAGGTGGAGAAGATGATTTCCAGAGGCCCTTTCCAACCCCATCTGCTCTGTTTCTGTGATAGTGCTCAATAATTCCCTTGAGACTCCCTCAGCTGCACAGTGTTACTTGTTGGCACTTCCTCTGTGGATGTTTGTGCCACTGCACTGAGCTCAGCACCAAGCTGCCATGCTGCTTTCAACACTTCTGTGCTCTCATTTGTCTCCAACAGCCACTGTGGAATGTTACAACCCCAGAATGAACGAGTGGAGCTACGTGGCAAAAATGAACGAGCCCCACTATGGTCACGCTGGAACCGTCTATGGGGGGTTAATGTATATTTCAGGTAAATAAATCATGCCTGTCATCATCTCTTGAAACAATTCCTTGTCTAACTTTTTCTGTCGCAGCAGCAGACAGTACAAATCAGTCTGTGGTTGCAGTAGGCTTGCCATGGTATCAGTAGTGATGCAGTTTCATATGAAGACAGTCAAACAGCACATACACTTCTGGCTCTGACAAAATTACTGCAGATAATATTATGCTTACTAATTGATTAGCTCTGGATTCCAAAGCAATTATCACTTTACAAATTGAAATAAAGTTTTCTGTAGCCATATATATAAATTATAATATATAATTTATACATTATATATAGCAATATAATTAGACATAACATTGTTATAATATATAATTATAATTGTGTATGAGTATTATATAATTATAACATGTATTATGATATAATATAGCAATTAAACACATAAACTATAAACTTTGGAATGCCTTGAAAATTTTATAACTTTAAACAACGTTTGCCTTCCTTGAAATAATGGAAACGGCTAAGTTCTCATGTTAATCATAGCATATAAGTGATATCTGTACTTGCACTGGTTTTTAATTTGAAATATGCTCATCCTGTGTGTAACTGAGATTGTAGTTTCATTACATTTTTTTTCCAAGTGGGTTGTCTGAAAATGTGCTGTTAGCTTAATTTTTAAAGAAGATTCAATCTATCTGTCAGTGATCATTGCAGGGCCTATATTCTCCTACTGAAATTTTAAAGGATGTCTTCTTAAGAACTAAGCTGAAATTCGTGGCAGGAGGTTGCTTAGCTGACAAGAACTGGTGGGGGATGTGCTGGAGCAGCTTCGTTTAGGGGCTCTTGTGCCAGAAGGCTAGGAGGAATTTGCTTTAGAATTTACTGTGAGGTACAGGTGCTTATTTTTCTGTGAGCAAGTCCATTGAGCTCCTAATTGCTGTGCTGCTGTCAGTTGTGTTTTGCCCATTTTGCTTGTTTTGCTGCAGGTGGCACATGCATATGCTGTCTGCTGTGTTTTTTTCATGTAGATCCCACAGATTTTTCTTTTCCTTTTGTCCTGGAGCCTCTCCAAATGCTCTTGCAGGGAGCTATGGAGAAGGTAAATGTAGAGGGAACCATAGGTAACTATTAACTGAAGAATATTTGAAATGTGTGTCCTCTCTCTATTCACTTGAAGTTGATGAAAAAAGATTTTTTATGAAAATGCTACTATGTGGTATTTAAAACACAGTGGCATAGTATCAGAATTTGAAAGGGAAATGGATTCTTGATGGTGAGAAACATAACTAGCAAACTGAATGAACACAAGCAAAGAAATAAATTTGCAGAGTAGAAGCATAGGTAACAGTTTTTTGTTCTTTTAATCTGCCAGTATCAATTGTGTGATGAGGCGCAGTGTGAGGCATGGCTTCTCTCCATATTCTCATTTAAAGGAACAAATGTCATTTGAAATGGAGTACTTCTATGATAGTAATCTAAGCTAGAGTGAAGAAGTTTTAAGGAAAATGAAATTCTTTCAGTAAAATGTATTGTTTTGTTATTTAATGCTTATTGGGGTGAGCACTCCTCTAACATGTGTCTTGTTTCTTTAGGGGGAATTACCCACGATACTTTCCAAAAGGAACTCATGTGCTTTGACCCTGACACAGACAAATGGACTCAGAAAGCTCCGATGACAACAGTCAGAGGTCTGCATTGCATGTGTACTGTAGGAGACAAGCTGTATGTTATTGGTGGAAACCACTTTAGAGGAACAAGTGATTATGATGATGTTCTAAGCTGTGAATATTACTCACCAACTCTAGACCAGTGGACTCCAATTGCTGCCATGTTACGTGGGCAAAGCGATGTTGGGGTTGCTGTCTTTGAAAATAAAATCTATGTTGTCGGAGGATATTCTTGGAATAACCGGTGTATGGTGGAAATAGTTCAGAAGTATGATCCAGAAAAAGATGAGTGGCATAAAGTATTTGACCTTCCAGAATCCCTTGGTGGCATTCGAGCCTGCACTCTCACTGTTTTCCCTCCGGAGGACAACACAGGGTCACCGTCCAGAGAGTCTCCTCTTTCAGCACCTTAGAACCCTCCCTTGGCTCACGATGTTGTAGTAACACCTCTGCACTGCACCATGGGGTCTCTTATTTTTCTTCAGTAGTTTCTGTTAGGCTTAGCCTACAGCATTTCATACAATTACTGGAAAAAAAAAAAAAAAGACTTTGACATTATTTGTGCTGTTTGTTTGGCCTAGAGTGTCTCTCAAGTGGTTAACAAAAGAAATGTACTCGCCCGAGCCAAATGTTTAACAAATGAGAGGGTATTGTCTGTAAAATGTATGAGCTAGGTACGTTATTCATGTTGTATGTTGGGTGGTGAGGTACCTTGTAGCTTACATTTGGGAGCCCAGTGAGTCAAATTTGTATTGAACATGTCACTGAATTTCATGTTGAAATCGGTTTTCCTTTCATTTTTGACTGCAGATCACAAGGGTAGGTAGACCACATCAATGTGAACTCTCTCTGAAGGTTGCCAAGGGGCCTGAGCTACCTCCCTCTTTACACAGAGTATTTTTGACATATCTGTTTACCCACCTGACTTTGTGGGTGCTTTCAGAGCATATGAAGTTTCTTAGGCAGAGGGAAGAAATAAAATAATTTTAAAATATTAGCACTGTACAGGAGCGGACCTTGTAGAGGCCAGGAGTTTTTTATAACATATATCGAGTGTTTTTCCTGAGTCAGTTGAATGATGCTTCAAACAAAACATTCTAAACATATTTGTGTTTTTTAATTTGGTTTTCTTTTCAGGAATTGGCTTCCACTTGCATGGGAGCACACACTATTAACAAATGGGAATTCAGTGCAGCAGAGTATTCTGTGCTATGGCTGTACTGAATATGGGTAGTTAAGGGCTAGAATCAGTAACTTAAGCCACCGAATTTGACCAAATGGTTCCATCCGATCAAATTTAATCTACCTTTTCTCCTTTACTGTTGAGATAACTTGCATAATGTGTCCTCTGTATAGTCTCAGTTAATAAGGTTATTTAGCACAAAGTGCAGCTTCAGTGAGAGAGCTGCTTTTGCTCAGTGAACCTGGACTACCACATTTTACCTTTTTTTGTTCAATAAAACTTTTAACTGCAGTTACCCAGTCTAAGCTACCTCATTAATGTATTTGGTTTTCTTCCTCTGCCTCAGTGTCTCCAGGATACACAACGTATATCCACGCGGGTAGGTGAATCTGCTAGGAAACCAATGCAGAAGTGATCATGAATGGGTGTTTTTGACCTACTTTTAAGAAACTATTTTGGTCTGATGTGTTCATTTTATTGTTATGGACTGATGAAAAACCAGTCTTAATGTTTTTCCTTGGAGAACTGCTTATGTGTGCAGCCCTGCAAATTCACAGGAATCTTTACTTGCTCCAAAATACTGTGCCCTGCTGACAAACTGCAGCTCTGATTATGCCATTGTGGTTGTTCTGGACTTCCCATCATGTTACAAGTCATTTTGCTAATGAACACAGTCACAGGGGCATCCTCTGGGGAAAACTGTTTAAAACAGCTTATTGTGTTACCTATTAATAATAACCAAGTAAAGCTTAATAGACTTTTGTTGGGATTTTGCTATTTGTGTTTTGTCCCTGCTTGATGCAATCAAGCAGCAGGATTTACTGTGGTGTCAGTTTTGGAAGTACTGATATTTATTCTTTGTGCAGTTTACTAGTAATGGTCACTACCAAAATCTACATGTAAGCTTTAGGTTTCATAATTGTTTTGGTTAAAACCAAAATCAGTTCTTCCTCTTTAAAAAATTGAAGTCTCAATTCCATGTGGCTGTGCCAAGTTTGTTGCAGGTGGAATAGTGACACCAGTGGATACTCCTGGAAACTGGCCAATGAAAACAAATTGATTCACCACCCTAAGAATACTATTCTTATGCTGTGCAAAGCACTGGATAGAAAAATGTTGCTCTGTTGCTTAAGGATTTTTCAATCATTTAAGTGTCACATGCTACTAATTTTTTTCCAGCTCAAAGACCCGATTTTAGACCCTTCTTGAGTTTAAATCCTCTGAAATCCATATTCAGTGTCTCTTTTGTTAATTAAACTGAAAAGTACTTGAAGGAGTTGCAATTCCTTTAGGATAATGTAAATATATCCTGCTCTTTGTATGCTGGGGATGAGGGACACAGTGTTTAAAAGTGGGAATCTTCACTGGTGTTCTCTGTTTGGAAGAAGCTTCACATGGGTTCTGATCATTCTGAGGTGGTTTAAAGCCAGCCAGAATATCAGTTTTGTGTCTGAGCCTTGTATAGCCAGGAGCTGGTATATGGCCACAATGGTGAGGTTTTTTGTTTGTGTTTTGTTTTGGTTTTTTGTTTTTGTTTTGGTTTTTTTGACTCATTATTTGTTATACGTAAAATGGAAGACTTATTTTTGAACGTTTTGTCATCAGTGGATTAAATGTAGTGCTTCAATCAAATTAATCTTTGGGGTTTTTTGTTGTGATTTTTTTTTTAATCTCCCTCTGGATTAAAGTGTTTATAATTACATTTGTTAACATTTACTCACCAGGATTGAAAAGCAAACATCAAAGACTTGCCCAAAACTGCAAACTGGTTTCTTCTGTAATGTAATATAAAATGCCATGATGCTCATTGAGTGTTTCTTAACCATAGCATAAGAACCCCTTTCCATCTCTGAACCCACAGCTGTAGGCATACACATGGATTCAGCAAATACCCATCTCCATTTCCAGTCAGGCTGCCTCTTCATATATCTTGGACTCTATCATGTTGCAGTTGTAGTACCTGAATCAGAAAAGCATCTGGGTAAAAAGCAATTATAGCTATTTGACTTGAATGAAATTAGGGTTGCATGGTGTGCCAGCTGGGAGAGCCACGGGAGCTGTCTGCCCTCTCCCAGTGATGCAGGCACACACTGCAAAATTCATTCAGGCTTTGCTTTTTTGGTGCCCAATTAGCAGCAAATGCCAAAAGGGCTCACTTCCATGTACACTGTGCCCAAAGGCTCATCTGATATCCCTGCAAAACTCGGCACTCTGACTCCAGACATCCAAGGTGACATTTCCCTTGTTCTGTGTTTTGAGATAGGACAAGAACAGTGGGGAAGACGACCTGGGAAAATCCAGGTTATGTAAAGTTCCTTTGCCTTGTTAACATCAGAGGGTTCATCATCTGCAGATATCCATTTTTCTGTGATACCCCTCCCCTTAGAAAGTTGCAAAGTCCAAGAACCTGGTCCAGGGAAAGCAATTCCTGCAAGGATCCAGCCAGTCTTGTGGCTTCTTGGGATAAAGGAGCTGTGCTGAAGGGATGAGCACTGGTGCAGCAGAACGTGGCTGACAGCCTGGCTGTGGCTCAACAGGCCCCTTGGGTGGAATATTCAGTGTTTTCTTATAAACAGTGCTATTTTTAAATTTCCTATTCTGTTTCTGAGGGATCTCCAAGGAGTAGCATTTTAGTGACAGCCAGAAGCTCAAACCAGTAGTTGGTCCTTTAGTGGAATAATGGCAATCATGGATTAGAGCAGTTTGCATGCAGATAAATAAAGTTCTACCTAAAGGCTTACAGTCTTAATCTGATGGGCTGGTTGGACATCAAAAAATAATTTGATGCCACAGCAACAAGTGCAGTACAAATATCTGGAGAAGTTTCTAACCAAAGAGTTGAGGATGAACTGATCCGAAAAGATCATAGCACTTTTCTTTGCAAAGTTTATTCTCCCACCAGAATTATTGTTCCTTCTTAATTTGCCCTCCAGCTGGTGATTACCTCACCTTTACACTGATGTCTGACTCTACTGGTCACTGATTCTTTAATCTTTGGTTTGACTTGATGCCCTTGGTAGCTGACATCTCTGTTACTTCCTCTGCTCCTGATCAGAACAGATAAAGCAGAGGCTTTTTAGTGGCACTTACATCAAGAGAGAATTGCCCATTGTTGATAAATGTATTTGTAATTCAGCTTGTGCATTCTTGGAAACATATAAGCTATTTTAAGCTAGTGGAAGGTATGTGCATGTTGCAGGAGTAATGTGTGTCCCCTTTCCTCCTGGCTTGCACCTTATGTGGTGTGGTGACCCAGAGATTGGAGGGAGAGTCAGGCTCTCACATGGCACTTTATGCTTTCCATGCTCTGTGAAAGTGTTCTTTACTTGCACACCATATGTAGCTTATGGGGTATTTTTTCTTTTATATTTTAAATGTGAATTATGATTCTTTGTGTGCAAATGTGGTCAGAAAAAAAAGTCTTAAAGGGCAGAGTTATACATTGCTTAGTTGATAAAGTTTTTAGTGCCCTGAGTATTGCAGGACCCGTTCAGCTGTGAAAAGGTGATTGCAGTTTGAGAGCCAGCTAGGAAATCCGGATGGCTTTCCTGCCTGTCCCCAGGTCACACGTTCTTGTTGCCAGTCTTTCACAGGTCATGAAGTGAAGCTCTTTTCTCCATCAGTAGGCTCCAAATTTGGTGTCCAGCTCTGTTGGACTTGCTGATTTCCCACTCTGGGAAGGACATGGTGGGATGCGTTTTCACAACCTGGCTTGTTTTCTTCAGGAATTCCACCATCAGTGACACACTGGAGTCCTCCAGAGCTCTTTGGTGACTTGGTGATTTGTATAGAAATGCAGCCCAGGGAACCTGGGAGTGGTGCTACAGCAGGAGCCACAAGTGGCTGACATTCCTGAGGGGATGGTCTCCTACTATAGTATTACTTTGGCTCGAGTGCTGTTTTTTCCCCCATCTTTGGGGGTATTTATTGCTGCTGTTTGAGTTTTTAATTTTTTATTCATTAAATGAGTAATGCCTCTGTGAGTCTGCAGTGGGAGCAAAAAGTTCAGGTGGCTCTTTCAGAGCTGCATGCTGTCAGGCTGTCCACATAGTTATTAAACCCTTTCTATTTGGAGTTCTGTTTCCTAAGTGTTTAGGAGAAATAATTTTGCAATGTGACAAGATCTCACAGGAAAATGTTTGGGACTGGAAAAAAAATGCATATTGTTTTAGATTTTTTGTCATGGTTTAGAGGTTAGTTTGGACTTTCAGCTCTCACAGACTGAATAGGGAGTGATATATATATGTATTTTTTTTAATAACTTATAGTTTAAGTGAGTCAAAGCTCAGTTATTTGTACCTGCTTGCACTCTTGGCTGGCCTGTTGCTGTATTCTCCCTCAGACCACAGCATTCTGTGCTGTCTGGCATCTGTTTCCTTGTGTAAGAGCACCTCTTGTCTTCCCTGCTGCCTGATGATTGAGTTCCAAAACCAATCTTGGTTCTTACATCCAAAGTACCTGTGGAGCTAAAGACCATGTGGAGCTGTGGATTGAGGGCCATGGCTTTGACATTTAATTCCCCACCAGCCTCTCACTGCTTTGCAAGATGTTCTCAAACCCAGCTGAAATCTGAGTGCAGGAGGCAAATTCAGGCTGCAAATTTTAGTAACCTGGGCATCTAAAGACCACCAGAGTGTCCTCGTCCCCTCTGAGGGGAGTTGTGCACATGAGCTGCTGAGGGCTCAGGGAGGGGGCAGGCACAGGAGCTCCTTGGGTAACCACACTTCTTGTTGGCCTTTGGTTCTGCTCTTTCTTCTGTGCCCAGATGGAGATGGTGGGAGGGAAGGTCAGGGCTGGGTCACACTTTCCAGCTCTCAGTAGAGAGCAAGTTTGTTTATTCTCCTCTGTCTGTACAACACTGCAGGACAAAGAACTGTAGGAACATTTCAGATTTTGAACGTTGTTTCACAGCACAGTATTCATTAATAAAGGAAAAATTAGTCTGTTTTAACCTGTGGTCCTCATAACCAGGATTGTTCCCAAATACTTGGCTTCTGTTGAATTAACAACTTTGCCTTTACCTCCCTTGTTCAACATTACTGTAAAAAAATTGCTTGGTTTCTTTTCCATTTGTTTTTCATTGCTTGTAACCTTTCCTTAGAAATGTGGAAATAATTTTCCTTACATGTTTTATGCACCAAAATAAACACACCACTGATCACCTGAGTCCCCTCCCCATGTTTCTTACTCAGTGCCAGTGTATTCTTTCCATATTTTTTACCCAAATGTTTGACAGCTGTCAATAAATACCACCAGAAAGTCATAAAATTCCTGCTGATGGGTGCTGCATT